CCACGGGGGGGAGGGGGCTTTGGAGACCCCGCGGTGGGCAGGGACCCATGTGCGGGGACATTCTCTCAGGGCGGGACCTGTTTCTTTCCCACTACCGCCTGCCACCCCGTCTTCCCTCTTCACCATCTCCAGTCGGGAGTGGGGGGCCCACATGTCTCGGCAAGGGAGATGGGAGGGGGGAAGGGAAGAAGGCCAGGCAAGGCGAGGAGCCTCCGGGGAGCCGTTGGAGATGCCGGCCACTTTGCAAATGTGTTCTGTGGCTCTTAGCAGGCCACGCCTCAGAGGTGAGAGTTCCAGAGCAAGTTTGCCCCCATGGGGTCCATGTCACCCCCGAAACACGATGCTCGGTGTGTGGTGGAGACCTCTCCTGGGGAGGGAGAGGGCGAGACCCACACTGAAACGGGCTGGACACCCCCCCCCCCCCCACACACACACGCACGCACCCACGCACACACAGACTCAGCACGGGGGTTGCAGGCTGACAGGCCCCCTCGCTGCCCTGCCTTTGGTCTGAGGGCTCTGCACTGTGTGCGATGTAACAGGCGTTTGGGAGACAGGAGGGAAAGAAAAAGGGCCCACGTGGCTCTTTCTGTGCCCGCGTTACGCACGGACCATCCGTTTGTGCCCCCCCCCCCCCCCCAGCCCTAAGGGGTAGGCACAGTTATTTGTCAGCCTTGTTTTACAGAGAGAGAATTCGAGGCGCCGGCTAGCAAGCGGGTCGTGGAGAATCAGGCTAGGGCCTGTCTGAGTCCAGAGCAGATGAGTGGAGGAGAGGATGAGGGCCACGGCGGGAGATGAGGATGAGCCCTCCTGCCTGGCGGGGCAGAGATCCTGCTGTTTGTGGGCCACCCCTAGTGGTGCTCAGGGCTCACGCCTGGCTCCGCAGTTAGGGTCACTCCTGACTGGGGTCAGTGCAGGCCGGCCCCGTGTATGGCAGCTTCCTTCCACTCTGTACTGTCGCTTCCGCCTGGACTCCCTGTTTCAGGGCGGTCGGGACTGGGGCCAGGAGGGAGCACAGAGCACTCTCGGGTGGTCTGATCCCTGCACCCGAGGGTCCCCCAAGCACCACAGGGTGTGTCCTGGAGGCCCCTGGGCACCGATGGGGTGTGCCGGGCACCCTGCATGGCAGTTCCCAAGCAGTACCACGGGCGAGACCCTGGCACTGAGCGGAGCGCCTGGCTGGCCGGTAACCCCTGTGGGGGCTCCCAGACTTGCTGAGCATCGCTTGGGAGGCTCCTGGTTTTTAAAAACGAAAGAAACTGGGGTGGGGATGCCAGTGCATCCTTCTCCCTGCCAGACTTGTGGGTCGTGGGGGTACCGGGGGAGGTCGTAGGCTTCCTGTTTGAGCCTTCACAGTCTCCTGGGCGGGGCCCCGAGCCATACATAGCATAGAGGGGCGGGCACTCGCCTTGTATGTGCCCAACCTGGCATTCCATGGTTCGAGTCTCACCCACTCACCGTGAGCCCCAGCTATGTCCACACCGCCAGGAGTGACTCCTGAGGGCAGAGTCAGGAGTAACCCCAGAGCATCACCGGGTGTGACCCCTTCCCCGCCTCCTGGCCTGGCCTGGGGTCCAAACCCGAGCCCAGAGGCTGAATGTCCTGAAGGAGCCAGAGCTGCACACAGCACCCACCGGAGGCTGGTCAGTGGCAGCAGCTCCCAGTGCACCAGCTGGGGTGGGGTGGGGAGGGGACAGGGGGTGGAGACACTTCCTGTGACTCTAGGAAGATGGTGATTCAGCAGCTCATCACTGCTGCCTGGACCTTGAGCTCTGGCCAGCGGAATCCTGGCGGGTGGGTAAGAGCTTCCAGCATCAGCTCAGGGAAAGAAGCAAAGTGTGTGTGTGTGTGTGTGTGTGTGTGTGTGTGTGTCTGTGTCTGTGTCTGTGTGTGGTGTGTTTGTGTGTGTGGTGTGTGTGTAATGTGTTTGTGTGTGTGTTGTGTGTGGTGTGTGTGGTATGTTTGTGTATGTTGTGTGTTTGTGTGTGTGGTTTGTGTATATGAGCCCTCCTGCCGGAAGGGGCAGAGAGATGTTGTGTGTATGTGTGTGTGGTGTGTTTCTGTGTGTGTGGTGTGTTTGTGTGTTGTGTGTGGTATGTTTCTGTGTGTGTGGTGTGTTTGTGTGTGGTGTGTGTGTTTGTGTGTGGCGTGTTTGTGTGCGTATATGTGTGTGGTGTGTTTGTGTGTGTTGTGTGTGGTGTATTTGTGTGTGTAGGTGTGTTTGTGTGTGTGTGTTGGGGAGTTGCGGGGGTAGGTCCAGGCCAGGGCTGGCTGCTGGGCCGCGGGGGCAATGCAGACCCCCCCTCGGTTCTCCTCCCTGCCACGCCTGGTATGTGAGGTGGGAGAGGCCCGGCCAGGCCCTTGAGCTGCTTCTCCACATACTCAGCAGCTCAAAATACGCCAGGGCTCTGCCAGGAGGAGAAGGTGCCTGTGGGCCGGAAGCTCCCAGGAGGCTCCCTGTGGGGGGGACCGAGGGCTGGATGCCGTGTGCCCGGGGGTGCCCGCCTGCTGGCCCCCCTCATCCCAGACGCCCCCCCCCCCGCAGTGTCTGCTCTGTGACCCTCACCCCAGTGCTTGTGTGGCGCCCTGCTGCAGGGAGGATGGGGTTCGAGTCTCGCCCACTCACCATGAACCCCGACCGTGTCCAGCTGCTTCTCAGAGCTCTGTGACCCCTGACCAGACACGTCTGCTGGGGACAGCACTGCTGAAGGCCCAGGGGTTCTGGAAACTTCCATGCCCCCATATGCATATATTTTTTTACCGAGTATCAGGTATCTTAGGGGTGCTGTGGGGGTGATGGTGAGTGGTGTTGAGCTTTAGCGCCCCTGGGGTCCGTCCTGCCTCCAGTCAGGGCTGTAGTTGAAGGGATGACGGTGGGTGCCGGGCCAGAGCTGCCGCCTGCTTCTGAGTTTGTGAGAGTTCCCAGAGGATCCTGTAGGCGACTGACCCACTGACCAGGCCTGGCTCTTAGCACCACCCTGACTCAGATGACCTGCCTGCCCCCTAAGTGCCCCCAAACAGATGACCCTCCTGTCCACCTGCTGCCCCCATAATGACCCGCCTACATCTCCCTCTTCCCAAGGCTGTCGACAGGTCAGAGTCTCGGTGGCTGTACCCCTGTGTCCACAGCACGGTAGCCGAAGCAACTCCTTGTGACCCCCAGAGAGCGACCCCCAGCCCTTGCGCCCCTCCTTGCCCACCCCATCTGGCTCCCTCTGCAGAAAGGCAGGAATTCCCTCTTTGGAGTGGCAAGTTTGGGACCACATGGCACCCCGCCCTGGGGAGCCAGGCACAGCCAGGCATGTCGTGGGCACCCTCCTGTGTCCCAGGAGTTGGGCAGCCCAGCTTGGGAGGAACCCAAGGGAACTCGCTGGGCCCCCTGCTCCTTCGGGGACTCCTCACGCCCAACCCCTCTCCATGCCCGCCAAGCAGCAGCTTCTCCAGCAGAGAGGGGGCTTCGGAAATGGCCCCCGCATCGTCTTGGCTGGTTCTCAGCCCAAATCAGGAAGAATTAAAGAGCCTCAGTGGGGGCGGGGGCGGGGGTCTCACCCCTGATCCTGGCTCCAGGGGCATCACCAGGGAGCTGGACAGGTGTCCACCCCCACAGCCCGGCCAGCCCCCAGCTCAGAATCTGAATCTCCAGGCCCGCCCTCATGAACCTGCAGCCCCAGAGACCGCTGGGCTTCCAGATCCATGAGCAGACAGGCCATTGCAACCCTTCTGCACCCTGATTTCAGTATTCTCCGCATGTGTGCGTGTCTGTGTACGTGTGTGCATGGGTGCACGTTTGTGTGTGTGTATGTGCGCACATGTGTATGTGTGCGCGTGAGCCGTGCCCAGGAGAGGGGGGCTCGTGGTGCTCCTCTCTCTCCAGGAGTTTCCAGGGGGTGAGTTGGGGGGGGTCTTTCCTGAGCACTAGTGCAGCCTGGGAAGGTCCCTTGAGACGGATGGGAGAGGCCCAAGGCGGGAGAACGGGCTGAAGGAGTTGGTGCCGGGTCCCAGCCAATAGTACAGGGAGCAGGGCACTTGCCATGCAGGCCCCCGACCCCGGATGCCATCCCTGGCACCTGATATGGTTCGCTGAAGACCACCAGGGGCGATTGCGGAGTGCAGGACCAGGAATACGGCCTGAGCATCACTGGGTGTGGCTCCCCCTCCCAAAACAACATCAAAAAGGAAGTTAAAAAAAATCCTGCACTGTGGCTCATGGGGGCTGGGGGCACTGGCGCGGGTAACTCAGGGGCTTGCAGGCTCCTACGGGAACCTGTGCTAGTGGGAGATTTCCTGCCTTGCTGACCTCAGTTACCCCACTGACCTCCCCGCCCCAGGTTCCCAGCCTGACCCACCAATAGCAACTGTAGGCTACAGTCCGGCGCGGTGGGAGGGACCCAGCCCCTGTGCTCTCAGGGCGCAGAGGGACCCAGAGTGGCACATCTGTAATTACCAGGCTGCTAGAGTCAGCCAGCCCAAGGGAGACCCGGGGAGGGTGCCACCTGCACTCCCGTAGGATGCAGAACCCCGAAGGGCCAAGGCAGGACCTGGGCTCCAGCCACCCGCTGGCGGTGCCTCAGTTTCCCACAGGAACCCAGTGCCTGAGGACCTGCCTGGCCTTCCCGGGTTAGCCTAGGATCTGGAAAACGAAAGGGTGTGTGTGGGGTGGGAGGGGGGGAGCCTCCGGGCCGGCAGCGGCGGGCGGGGCGGGGTGGGGCGGGGCGGCGGGGCGGCCAGGCCCGAGGAGCGGCGGAGTGGGGCGGCGGGGCCCCCGCGGGCGGGCGCTGCGCGCGGTGCGGTGCGGTGCGGAGCGCGCGGTGCGGTGCGGTGCGCGCGGTGCGGAGCGCGCGGTGCGGCTGCGGGCCGGCCGCGGGGATCACATGAGCAGCCGCGCCGGGACTGGGCGCCGCAGCCGGCCGTGGGCGCTCGCCGCAGCCCCGCAGCCCCGCAGCCCCGCGCCTCCTCCGCGCCGCCCTAACCATGTCTGTGTGTTGTTGCTTCTTTTTCAGGGACTATGGCAGCTCCAGGAGGAAATCAGGTAAGGGAGCGCCCGGCGTTTGCCCTCCGTCCCGCGTGGCCTTTCCGGGGTGATCGTCCTTGCCTGTCCCCTTCCCCCTCCCTCCCCCCCGCCTCGCCTGCCAGGGACCCCCTTTTGCACCTTCTCCCACCGCGGCCCGGTGGGAACGGGACTGAGCGCGCGGAGAGTTCTGGGGCGTCTGGTAAGGGGGCAAAGACCCCCGCCCCAGGTGGGCAGAGGGTCCCCCTCTGCATGCTAGTGGCGGGTGGCGGGAGGGACCAGGGGGCTTGTCCCCCTCTGGGGCGCTGAGCCCCGGAGCTGAAGGGGTCCGATGGGAATGACTCAGTTTCTGCGCCCTCCCGCCTGGCCAGCGGGGTGGGGGCTCTGGAGGTGACCGCGCACCGGGATGGGAGCACAGCGGCTCCATCCTCCGCCCCGCCCGCCCGCACAGGTGCCGGGCGCCCCGGAGTTTGCAAAGGGGGTGGAGACTGGGAGAGGCAGGGCTCAGCGCGGAGCTGGGCGCTGTCAGCCGGGGTCACCCAAGGCTGGGCGCAGCGCATGCCTGAGAGTGGGTGGGGTGTAGCCCTGGAGGAGTGCGGCGGCGGGGGGGGGGGGGGGGGTGCTGTGTGCTTCTTGTAATTCTGGGGGTGGTGAATTGGGGGGGCGGGCAGCCATCTGGGGGCCTCTCGCTCTCACGGATCTGGGAAGTGTATGCCTCTGGGTACGTGCCAAGAGCTGGTCTAGAGGCCAGAGGTCAAAGGTGGGTCCCCCTAGAGTTCTAGGGCGGAGGAGGATGTTGTCTGGAGGTCTGAGTTTTTGTGTTTGCTTGGGGGGCAAGGGGGGTGGACGTCCCACTAGGGGCTGTTTGGATGCATAGTTGGGGCACCCTGGTGCCTGCCCTGAGGGTGTGTTTTTGTGTTGGGGTGCAGAGGTGTTTGGGGATCTGAGCCTGCCAGGGTGTTAGTGTAGCAGATTGAAGAGTCCAGCCCTGGTGCTGTGTTAGTGACCTGTGCTGTGTCTTTGGGAGGTGGAGATGGGTCTGCCTGGGCCCCTCGGTTGTGGGGGGGGAGGGGCGTAGGGGCGGGATGGGGCAGGGTCACGTGTTGGTGAGCAGGAGGGGAGCCCCGAAGGAGGAGCTAAGCTGGGCCAGCCGCTTCTCAGCCCCCATCCCAGGAACTGGTCGTGGGTTCTCTGCCTCCGTTTCCCCTTGACTCTCAAACACAGCTGCGTGGATCTGTGTCACCTGTAGAATGCAGAAAAACCTTAGCCTAATGCCTGGGGCTGGGATCTGGCTCCATGGGGAGTCCCATGGGCGGCCCCAAAACAAAAACAGGATCCAGTCCTGCCTTAGTGACTCTATCAGTTTATCCTTTTTTGTTTGTTGGTATGTTTTGGGGGTGGGGGGGGCCACACCCACTGATGCTCAGAACTTAGTCCCAGCTTTGCCCTCGGGAATCCCTCCTGGCAGTGCTTGGGGGCCCTGATGGGATGCTGGGATGGAACCTGGCTCAGCTGCGTGCAGGGCAGGCGTCCTCCCCACTGTCCATCTCCCCTCCCATCCTTTGCTGCAAACCTGGGACGTTGGCCTAGTCCCTGCTCTGCTCTGGGGCTCAGGTCCCCCCCCTGCAGGAAAAGGTTGTAGCGGACAATCCCTCAGGCTCCCTCTGCTCCTGATCTGGTTCCCAAGCCAAGCAGGACCCCCACCCCCCCGGGAAACCTTCCCCCACGCCTGCCTGTTATTCTGCCTTCCATTCTCAGGCCTGAATGGACGGGATGGGAAATGGCATCAATGAAATTACTGGTGTGCTTGTGATAACAGCTTCCTGTGTCCGCTGAAGTGAGGCTCTGCAGCCTCAGTTTAGAAGCTTCTCTCCCCAGAGACCTGGAAGGCCTTCCTCCCTCTCTGCCCAGAGGCTCATCGGAGCTGGGGATTCCCACCCACTTGTTTCATTTATTGGTTTGGGTTTTGTTTATTAGAACCACACCCGGCCAGTGCTCAGGGCTTACTCCTGGCTCTGCCCTCCGGGATCACTCCCTGTGGTGCCCAGTGGGATGTCGGGGATCGAACCCCACTCAGCTGTGTCCAAGGCAAGCTCCCTTCCCGCCGAGCTCTCCCAGGCCTTGTAACGCGTGCTTTCCACGCTGGGTCATGGTGCCCAGATTTGCCTCGATCCAGGCCTTCCTGAAGTTGTGTCTCGGATGAGATGAGTATTTGCAGCCCTGGGCTTTGGGGAGTGTGGATGGCCAGGCATCTTGTAGGTGGGTTTCAGCCCTGGGGCAATGGGTGGAGAAATACAGACCGCCCCTACCCCCCCCCACACACACACACACCCGGTTGATGGCACAGCGTCCTCACGCCCCAGCTTGCTCCTCTCACCAGCCTACCCATCAGCGTGGGGCTCACCAAGCCCCCACAATCACGAGCTAATTCCCTAAAATACTTTTCTCTCTCTGCACATTTCACACACCCTGTTTGGATATATCTCTGGAAAGCCCTGACTAACACACGCATCCTGGTCACAGTAAAGATTAGATAAAGAGAAGTCAGCTGTTCCAGGATTTTTTTTATTTGTCTTCTTTGGGGGCCACACCCTGTGGGGCTCAAGGGCCACTCCTGGTGCTTGGGGGCCTCTCCTGGGGGTTCTGGGAGGACTCTGGTGCCGGAACCCAGGCCTTCTGCGTGCTCCAGCTCTTGGTACCCTTTCCAGCCCAGTTGGGGCTATTTGAGCCTTTATTATGTGCTTCCAACTTCCTGTCTCCTCCCCTGCCAATCAGAGCCCCTCAGCTCGTGGGGGAGTAGATCCCCCCTGTGCAGATGAGAACCCCAGCCTCCAGGCTGGCTACCTGCTAGCCAGGTGAGTCCACATCTTGGTCTCCACCCTGCGTGCTGGGGCTTGAAGCTTGCTAGGGCCAGAGGCCCCAGTAAGAAAGTGAGGGCTGTTCCCTGGGAGCGCAGGTCATATATGGGCTGGAGCAGTAGCATAGCGGGTAGGGCCAGGTTCGATTTCTCTGCCCCTCTTGGAGAGCCAGCAAGCTACCAAGAGTATCCCACCCACACAGCAGAGCCTGGCAAGCTCCCTGTGGTGTATTTGATATGCCAAAAACAGTAACAAGTCTCACAATTGAGACGTTACTGGTACCCGCTCAAGCAAATTGATGAACAACAGGAGAACAGTGCTACAGTGCTTCAGTGATATATATATATTTCCCCAAGACTCAGTCCTCCTGGGAGGATCTCTGTTGGGTGCAGAGCCAAGGTAAGAGTGTGTGGGAGGCTGGGAGAATGTTCTAGGGCAGCGTCCATGCCTGCCTCCATGGGCCACGGACATTGCCCCTCACGCCTGCTCCTTGGGGATCTGCCCCACCCGCCCAGAGTCCAAGGTGTCCCCACGGCCCCCTGGCTCTGCCACTTGCCCTTCTCTGATGGGAGCCCTTTCACCCCTGCAGGAGACCCCCCAGCGCCCCGGGTACTTTCAGGGTGTCTCCTCCAGAGCTAGAGGGAGTTCTTTGTCCTCACTGGCTTCTGGGCACCACCCTGAGGACCACCCTGGGACTGCCCCTCCTCCCGCCCCTGTCCCCCAAGTCCTCAGTGTTCCCTCCCTTTTGCACTGTTGTTCTCTCTGCTTGAATGCTGTTCCCTGTTCTTCCGAGTAGCTGAATACTCCCCTGAAGCCCTCAGTTTCCTGCCCAGGGGCATGGGAGTCTGTGTGTGTGTGGGGGGGGGGGGTGCCAGGGATGGACCCAGGGCCTCACGCGTGCAAAGCAGGCGCTGTCACACTGAGCGACATCTCCGAGCCCCACAGTCTGGCTGCCCCTCAGATCCCCATGTTTCTCTCCTACACATCCCTGCGCATGCCCAGTGCTCTCGTTTGTTCTGTTTGACCTTTTCACCATGGACTGAAGGGTCTGGTTTGTTGAAGGGAGGGGGAGGGAGTTGCCAGGGGCGCTGCAGCCGCCTCGCAGGCCATTTTCTGGCACCAGGAGGGGTTCTTCCTGCTCAGAAGAGGGTGGGGTGGAGGGACTCCTGTAGCAGTGCTCATCAAGAGACAGAGCTGGTGCAAAGACAGGAGACCTCCCTGAGCGCATCTTATTTGGAGACCAGAGACCAGAGGCTTCGGCTCAGCTCACGGATCAGCGGCTGCTCGCTGGCCGCAGGGCCTGGCGGGGGAGCGAGAGGAGCAAGAGGAGCGACGGCCTGAAGGCCCCACACCTGCCACGCACATCCCTGCCGGAGGATGTGGGAGGAGCAAGGGGTGCGGGCAGGAGGCCCTGGAGGGTGCAGGCCTATTTGGGGCCATGGCCCAGAGCTGGGGGGGGGGCAGGGGCTTGCAGGCCATTTGAACAGTTTAGACTGTGTGTGTGTGTGTGTGTGTGTGTGTGTGTGCGCTTTTTGCTTTTGGGTGACACCATTTGGGCCACGTCAGGGCTCTGTGCTCCGGAATTACTCCTGGCAGGCTCAGGAGACGATGAGGATAGATGCCGTGTGCAAGGCAAGCGCCTGCCTGCTCTACTGTCTCTCCAGCCCTTGGACTTTTCTTTTTTTTTTTTTTTTTTTTTTTTTGCTTTTTGGGTCACACCCGGCGATGCACAGAGGTTACTACTGGCTCATGCACTCAGGAATTACTCCCGACGGTGCTCGAGGGACCATATGGGATGCTGGGAATCGAACCCGGGTCGGCCGCGTGCAAGGCAAACGCCCTACCCGCTGTGCTGTCGCTCCAGCCCCTGGACTTTTCTTTTGATTCGGGCTGCAGATGTGGCACATGCAGACGTGCCCAGGGGTCACATCTGGCGGCGCGTCGGGGATCGTGTACCGCCGGGATTCGAACCTTGATTACAGTCGCAGCCACCTACCAGGCAAGGGCTGTCGCCTCTGTCACAGTCCCCTCCGACCTCCAGGAGAGGGAGTGAAGAGCCAGCTGTGAGGGGAGGGGCAGCCCCAGGCTGTGGGTGGAAGGAGAAGGCGAGAGCAGGAGAGGGGGACACTGGGCAGCACGGGGTCCTGGGGAAGGTTTGCCCAG